GATTGACATTCAAAAACCTGATGCCAATCTAAATTCATAGCCTGGGTATTATGCAATGGAATACGAGTAACAAATGTTGAAAATCAGAAATATTGAAACACTCCTACAGAGTACGTAAGCAAAACCTCAACTTAAGTGAAAAGCTGGAATACTGAAAGAGCTGGCTCCTCCTTGAAGCACAGCCAGTTAAGTAAAATTGTCATATAAAAATTGAAATTATTAAGAACAAATGAAAAGGCACTGTCCCAATGGCAGCAGAGTCAGTAACCAGAGGATTGTTTAAGATAATTGGTAAAAAAAAATCTCGAATGTACTGCCTCAGAGGGGCGTTAAGACAGGAAACCTCCCAACCTTTAAACAGTATTTGGATGAGCAATTGAAATTTCTTAACGTTCGAGGCTATAGGCCCAGTGCTGGAAAGTGGGATTCATGTAGATTTAGAATCCTTCTGTTGGTAGGCACTCGATGGGCCAAATGGCCTCTCCTGCACTATGTGATGCTATGAGAAGGACCAGAGGTGCGTTTAGGAGAGGTTTTGCACACACAGTGACTTGCTGTGATCTGGAATGCACTGTTGGGGAGGCGGAGTGGGAGAAGGTCAAGGTAAAGTTGCTGTAGCCCCAGAGGACCCACAAGGCTGCTCCCTCATTTGAGAGAGATGGCTGGTGGAGGTTCAACCTGAGGGTCACCACGCTTCAGGCAAGGAGGGCAGTTGAGAAAGAAAATCCTTCATGGTAATCCTCACGGACAGCAAGTGGTTGAAGCAGGTTCGATATTAACTTTCAAAAAGGAACTTGATATATAAAAGGAAAGAGTTTCAGGGTATGGGAAGAAGGTAGGGGCGTGTGACTAACTGGACAACTCTTCCAAACATGATCGCCAGTACGACCTCCCTCTGTGTTCTACCAAACCTCTGGCTTAATAGGCAAGATGCTGCCAGCTGCTTTCAAGGAGTTACTGTGCAAACACAAGGAAAACTTGACTATTTCTCAAAGTATCATGTTCCGCAAAGTTTTATAATACTAAAGTTGTCTGCACTAAGCTGGAATAATGTTGTATTTTATGAACAGAATGATCAACAACATCTCTGACTTAACCATAAATTAGTGTTTTCACAACATTTAATGACAATCCTACAATTTCAAATGGTTACAGGTTGAATCTAATCATGTGGATTCAAAATAGTTTGACTGACATGTTATTTATCAAAATAAAAGTCCAACTTGATTTTAAACTTATTTCAATGTAATGTTTTCTGTAGTGAAATGAATAAATTGATGTTCATCTCAGCCAACTGTGTGAACGATGATAGGCAACTGCTAATAAGGAAGGGAATTGTGGGCTAGAGTCAGAGACTCATACAGCACAGAAATAGACCCTTCGGTCCAACTCGTCCATGCTGACCAGGTATCCTAAACTGAACTAGTCCCATTTGCCTGCTTTTGGCCCATATCCCTCTAAATCATTCCTATCCATATACCTGTCCAAATATCTTTTAAACGTTGTAATTGCACCCGCCTCTACCACTTCATCTGGCAGCTCATTCTGTACACGCACCATCGTCTGTGTGAAAAAGTTGCCCCATCAGGTCCCTTTTAAATCTTTCCCCTCTCACCTTAAACCTATGTCCTCTAGTTTAGGACTCCCTTATCGTTTGGCCCCTGTAGCCTACTCTGCCACTCAATAGGATCATGGCTAATCTGACACACCTCATGTCCAATTTCCTGCCCGTTCCCCATAACCCTTGAGCCACGTGTGTGTAATCTACACTACTCCCACTGCCCCACCAGCTGCTCTACTTTGCCTCTCCTCCAGTTCAGATGGACTCAGTTTGGAAATCTTACTCTCCTGCTTGTGGCTCCGATGCTTCCAACCATTTCTGAGCCCTGTTCAAAAAAGGTCAATTCCATCAGGAAGACATTAAGCTCAGCAGGTCTGGCAGCACCTGTGAAGAAGAAAAAATTCACCGGACCCGAAACGTTAACTCTGATTTTTCTTCACAGATGCTGCCAGACCTGCTGAGCTTTTCCAGCAACTTCTGTTTTTGTTCCCGATTTACTGCATCCACAGTTCTTCAGGTTTTTTTTAAGGAAGGCATTAAACATGGCTTGTATGGTAATTATTGATGACGTCCTGGTCTGGCCATGTATGATATTTGGAGATGAGAAGCTCAGGTACACCATGTAGCTGCTTATTCCACAGATGACCTGAGACCCATCTGGTTCATTCATGTCCATCACAGAGGGAATTCTGCCATCCTTACCTGGTCTGGCCTACATGTGACTCCAGATCCACAGCAAGGTGGTGACTCTTAACTGAACTGTAAACTGGAGTTGAATCAGTTCAAGAGCAACAAGAAATGGCTGACAAACTGCAGCCTTGCTAGCCATCCACATCCCATGCAGAAACAAAAAGACACTACCAACAGATGCTAGGTTGAGGGACAAATATGCTCAATTTTTCAATCTAAAGTAAACTCAACTATTTGCTCAAGATGGAGGTTGCAAAGAATTATTTAGATGAATAAATACAAGTGATTTGTTTTTTTTTCCCTTTCGTTACTTGAGCAAAAGGTTCCAAATGAGTCTGAAGCAATTTACCTTTGGGAAGATCTAAAATGACCATGCTTTGTAATTGTAAAACGTGGCTCAGTATTAGGTGGTTTTCAATGTAATAGTCTTCATGTTTTATCATTCCAAAAGAGTGTGTGATTTCAGATAATAGGGATTCCTTCAGTTCCACAATTCCTTTGCTTTTAACTCAAGCACAAGGTATTAGCTGAGCAGTGTAAAGGAGCCAACACAATACATTATGGTAGGGTGAAAATAATCATATTTTCTCTTCCTACTTCGAGCTATTTTGTTCAATCTGGAACACACGGTATAAATGCCTTTTGCAACAAAGCAATATTAGGAATAAGTCCAACACAAATTCAATGGGGGGAGATGATGGCAGAGTGGTAATGGCACCAGTTCTCTTAACCTAGAAGCCCAGCTTTGGGATGTAAGTTCAAATCCTGCCATTGCAGCTGGTGGAATTTAATTTCAATAAATTACCAAAAAAAAAATTGTAATATAAGGCTAGGCATGCATCAGCAAACTGACCAACAGTTCTAAGTGTCATCTAAAAGACAAATACCATCCTCAGTGATTTGAAACCCAATATCTTATGCAATCAGTTTTCTAACATGAGGCACTGATTGAAACAGTTCTCACAGTATACATGCCAACCGTGTCATCCTGGCTCAGCTATTCACAGATTTGAACCTCGCCCCCACATTCAAGGGACAGGTCAGTACTGGTAAGTACCAATGGCAGCCAGCGAGAAGTCCTAAAGAGGAGACGTTAAACTGAGATCTTGTCCAGTGAATAATTTAAAATGTTTTTGTTTGAATCCCTACAGTGTGGAAACAGGCCCTTCGACCCAACAAGTCCACACCGATCCATTCCCCTATAACCCACCTAATCTCCACATCCCTGGACACTACGGGCAATTTAGCATGGCCAATCCACCCTAACCTGCACGTCTTTGGACTGTGGGAGAAAACTGGAGAACCCGGAGGAAACCCACGCAGACACGGGGAGAATGTGCAAACTCCACACAGACAGTGGCCTGAGGCTGGAATCGAACCTGGGTCTGCAAAGGGAATTCAGCAGGGTTGAGATCACGTGGGCTAAACATTCTTTCTCATCTCATCCAATTTTGTAGTATCATGTCTGTACAGGAAGTCCCTCCTTTGAGTCTCCAAGCTAAACCTCAATTTGTTTTAACACTAATTATGATTAAGATCTGTTTCCTTGTATTTTTTTGGCATTTTCAGTTTAATGCTGTTGTTCTTTTCTCATGCTCTCCTAGCATTATTGCCTGGAACACCACCCCCCTTCCCATCCCTCTCCCTCTCGTATTGCCCCACTCCTTTTTTGCCCTGGTCTTGGACTCCCCCTCCTCCCACCCACCTTGCCTCCTCCCACCTCAACTTTGCCCAGGTTTGAATCCCACAGCAACAGATGGGGAATTTAAATTCAGTAACAAGCCAGCCAAATGGAGACCATGTAACTACTGTCATTACAACCCTACCTGCTTTACCAATTCCCTTTAGAGAAGGAAATCTACTGCATTCACCTGGCCTGGCCTGCAAGTGACTCCAGACCCACAGCAAAAGTTATGGCCATACATAAATCTACAGCTCAGTACCAGTCAAAACAAACCCACCTAACTATTCTAATAATATTTTCCAGTCTCTTAGATGCCCTCTGCAATGGGCACTAACTACTGGCCAGGGGTTGGGAGACACAAGCAACAATGTCCACATCTCATTAATGCAGTTGTAAAAAGTTATTCTTGCCAGGAATGCACAAGTACAATATTATGTTTCAACTTGTACAATGTTTTCTCCATGTGAGAAATCTCCAAAGGAACCTAACTCTGACTGTAACATTGATTCCTATGGGAACCTATGATTCACTTAAAGTCAGTTTTCAGGAATGCAAATTACAACTTTAAGTGAGGACCTACTGTATGATCATCCCACATTGATAGGCAGGAATGAACAAGCTGATCCATTAGTTGTCCCACACTCATCATGACTGAAACATCATGGGATGCCTCATCAGTGCAGATGAGTTGGATCAAAGGGCCCGTTTCTGTGCCGGTTGTCTCTATGGCCCCATGCCATTTAGTTAGGCAATGTGAAACAAAGACAGAAATTGCTGGAGAAACTCAGCAGGTCTGGCATCTTCTGTGGAGAATGAAATAGAGTTAACGCTCTTCATCAGAATCACATTGGAGACATTAACTTTGCTTTCTTGTCACAGATGCTGCCGGACCTACTGAGTTTCTCCAGCAATCTCCAACATCTGCCGTTCTTTGTTTTTATTTTAGTTGGATGACGTGCTCTGCTTGGCAAAAAATCAAATTTGATCTTACTGTTGAATTTCAATGAACGAGACAAAAAAAAAGTAAAGTTAATATGTTCTTCCTTAAACTCAAAAACAACACAGGAACAATGAATTCAGAAACGGAGAATGGGACAACGGCAACTCCGAGCTTTCTTGAGCTTCTGCTGACAACCACAGAGACATTCCAGAGGACTGATCTCTCATTTGAAAAGGCAGACCCTTTGCCAATCATCATCGCCTTGATATGCATATTCCTTCTCTTGGCAACATGTGTGAGTTTTGTCGCCTTGTGCAACCCCGCGGGTCTGGATGCTTCCCGCTACGGCCCCTACGAGTGTATGCCGTATCACGTTGAGGACTCCAGTGAGCCCCGATTGAAACTATGGAAGCGTCTGGGTTCCCTGAGGTGCTCCATAAACAGCCTCCCGGTGGAATCGATCCTTCCCTCAACCTCCACAAACTTTCGCAAGTCGTTGCCAGACGGACCAAAACGATTCGGACCTCACAGAGTCAACAAAAATGTAAAGATTCAGCGAGTGTCAAATTTGCAAATAGACACATCGAAGCCAGAGAGTGGAAGTAATGAAAGATTAACTACTGCTGCAATCAATGCTTCAAGACCAGCAAAGGCAAGATCCCAGTTGTAATGAGGATTCAAGAAACGTCCTTCATAATACTGAATGGATTGTAATTTATATAGTGCCCAGCATCCATGGGGAAAACACATTGTGCTGCATGGTTAATCCATGGTTAACCTTCAGACTGGAAGATAACTACGAGCTAAAGGACACAACAACGCTGTTTGGAAGTTTTCAGCTCAAAAAAAGTTGTTCGCTGTTCTACTGTAACATTTAACTATTATACATTATAGAACTACAAACTCTTTACAGTTTTATCATCAGTCTGCAAGGTCCCCATTCCCCATCATCCTTCATCAGACATTCAAACTGACAGCACTTCCTGTCATCCTCAGCATCAGGTTCATATTTAATCCTGAGCAGTTAGATTTGGGATTGCATAAACGCAACTGCTTTCGAGGGCAAGTGGATGGTACACTAGCGATACAGGTTGCAATGATGCCCTGGTCGATGCAATCTGAAATTCTCACTTCAATTTAATAACATTTCCCAGAGGAAAGATTATAAATTATTTCAAAGGCTCATTAGAAATTTCAAATCTCATGCATCCAACAGGAAGTACAGCAGGGTTCCTGAAGGTATGAAGGCAAAATACTGTGGAAGCTAGAAATCTGAAAAAAAAAGAGAAAATGCTGGAGAAACTCAGCAGGTCTGGCAACACTGGTGGAGAAACAGTTAATGTTTCGAGTTTGGTATAACTCGTCTTCAGAACTGATCAAAATGGACCTAAAGTAAATGACCTGCCATATGACTAGTGCAATTAAATTCTGTTGAAATTTATAACATATGAATGATAGGTATTTCTGGTATAATGCGTGTTTTGTTAACACGAATTGGCTGTAACGCGACTGATGAATAGTGGATGCTGTTTGGATAACGCAAACTTTCTACTGTACAGTATAGCGATTTTCTATAGCAATTTCCCTATAACGTGATTTTCTATAGTGCAAGGTTGCACAAGAACACAACTATCGTGTAATAGGTGAAATACCTGTACGTAAATAGAGACATCGATGATTGTCTCATTTGTCGCACTGCATGTGGCAGTGATAACGAGTGTCAAGGATTGTCTGAGTGCTGGTAAAAAAAATAGATTTGATGGACATTTGAAGGCATATGTTAATTACAGAAGGCAGTTCTTGTCAGTGAATACATGGGGGAGGGTATGGAATATGATAATGTCACAGGATTAGAAATCCAGAGTCCCAGGTGAATGTTATAATGGGATATAACTTCAAATTCCACTATAGCAGATGGTGAAAACTCTGGATTCAATTAATTAAAAACTAGAAATATAAAGCTAGACTAATGGTAACCAATGGATATAAAAACCAACCTGGTTTACTTATGCCTTTTAGGGAAGGAAATCTGTCAGCCTACTTGGTGTGCCCTACACTTGACTCCAGACCCACTGCAAAGTGATTAATTCTTTTTTTCTAGTCAATTTCTTTCATCAAAATGGAAACTGACTTTGCTACGATAGAGTTAACACATTAAAAGAATAACAAAAGAATCGCAGAGTTTAACCATTCTGCGGAGTGGATAAGCAGCCAAGCTCAGTCTGAAACTGGTAAAAGAGAATCAACCTCAAGTCCTGCCCTCCTAGGCCTCAACAGCAACAGAAACGGCCTGAGATAGCCACTTGGCTCAACGAGTATTAGGGATGGTCAATAAATTCTGGCCCAGTCCATCACATGAGTGGATTTTGTTAAAAAAAGTGTTATGACCATTAATTTTTTTCTCCTGTGCTGTAATTTCCAAGTTTGTATGTCTCTGCATCATCAGTCTTGATTGGCTCTTGCTTCATCATGTTTTTGAGATTGTTTGGTCTTTTCTCTCCCAGTTCAGAGAAGGTCTATGAAACTAACACCTGGAATGAGTGGATTACCTTCTGATGAAAGGCTACATAGGCTAGGCCTGTATCCTCTGGAGTTTAGAAGAGTCAGAGGTAACTTAGCTGAAACACATGAGATCCTGAGGGGTCTTGATTGGGTGCATATTGAAAAGATGTATCCTCTAGCGGGAGAAACTAGAATTAGGAGTCAGAGTTTAAATACAAGGGGCTGCCCATTTAAAACAGAGATGATGAATTTTTTTTTCTCTCTCGGAGGGCTGGAAGTCACGGTGGGAAAGAGTATAGAAAGCGCTGATTTACTCTATCCAAACCACTTAACCCTCTGAGCACAGAACGGATCAAAATGAAAACTCAGAAGATCATTAAACCATCAATCAGCTATGGAAGGTAGTCAGAGAAAGTTCCTGGACGTTATTCCATGGCTCACACTTCCACACAGCACAAATCACTCAATTATCATCCCGAAGTAGAGAGATCAGCGTGCCAAACAGATCACCAAGTTAATCCATGGGATGCCCAAACCTGGTTGGTCCATCACTAAAACCAAACTGGGCTTTTCTCACAACAAAACTGAATCCTTAGTGGTGAAAGGAGGGCAAACCGTCCAGTTAGTCCTTTGAGATGCACAAGATGGAGTACAGTCATATTACAATTGTACAAATTGGCGGCACAGTGGTTATCACTGCTGCCTCACAGCACCCGGGACCTGGGTTCGATTCTACCCTCAGGTGACTGTGTGGAGTTTGCACATTCTCCCCGTGTCTGCGTGGGTTTCTTCTAGGTGCTCTGGTTTCCTCCCACAGTCCAAAGGTATGCAGGCTAGGTGGATTGGCCATGGTAAAATTGCCCCATAGTGTTCAGGGATGTGTAGATTAGGTTGGGTTTTAGGGGGATGGGTCTGGGTGGGATGCTCTGAAGTTCGGTGTGGACTAGGTTGGGCCGAAGGGCCTGTTTCCACACTGTAGGGATTCTATGATTCAAAATCCAGCAACAACCATTCAACAACAGTGTGCAAGCCTCCAACACCTTTAAGGTGTGTCAAGACACTCCTTAAGCACAGAACTGAGCATGGAGGTGTACAGACTTGAGGATGTACCTGCACCAAATGGGCTGCAGAGATTGAAGAAGGCAGCTCACCACCACCTTCCAGTGAAGACCATCCCCCATGACTGAATGAATAACAAGGAGGTGGCTGACAGCATAGCCAAGAGGTAGGCTCTGCAGAAGGTTTTGAAGCTGCCGATATACGAATAGGGGAGTGCATTAGTGAGAGAGCTTCAGTGTGCCAGGATGGATGTCTGGGATGATAGCTGAAAGGTAAGATTTCCGAGATGATTGACAATGGGGAAAAGTATTTAGTGGCTATCTTTCAGGTACGTTCTGCCTTGCAGCTTGAATGGAAATAATTCAGCATCCTGAAAGTCGAACTTGCGGAAGAAATAAAAATGAAAACGTATAATCTCAGCCGACAAGACTACAAAAGGCACCTTGAGCAATTTTAAATAACAGTGCAAATTGTTTTCTCACAAAGTTGAAGCAGCAAAGTGAATGTGATCATTGATAAGAGTTATGTGAAACGCAGTCGTTAATTCTGTGACCTTCCAAGAGAAGCTGAGTATCAAGAGAATAACAGGGCAGAAGATTCTAATCATCGACATTTGGAAATGTTACTGATGCTTTTAAGCAAATTCTCAGAACTGACAGACTGGGATCATCGGACAGTTTATATGCTTGAGGACGGAAAATCTGGGGGACACTGATGTCACCGTCATGTTGCTTTGAGTCAGAGGTCCATAAATCCCATAAAGTACAGTGCTCTTTCTCAACTCTTTGGTGTTAAATCTGTATTTCTCCCTCAAAAATCAGCACAGAAATCCCAAATTTTAGTGCACGGGTGAGGGGGAGTCAATGTGAATGTACTCTCTCTCCCAGTGAGGAGCTAAAGGCCTAGGGAATGAAGTCTGCAGGATAGACATAACTCTGAATCCCAGTTTGAGACTCTCAGCCAGGAATGAGAGATTCCTGAATTTGTCCTTTGGTTTACACCTTTGAGACAGTCTGCTGCATTTTTTTTTCCCAATTGTATTTCAATGGGAGCCAATGAGAAGAAATGTACAATAAACTGTTTTGCTATCACCCATTATGTAATCATACAGGGTCAAGATCTATGTTTCTACATTAATATACCACTGAACAATAATGCCATATGCTGGATATTTGCCATTGTTGTTATATTTTCCACCATTTGATATACATAGAGACCAACATCATCTGTGTCATATTTTATGAAATAGTTAAAAAGGGCACAACTGAAACACAGCTGATTTTACTCAGGCCAAAATAACTCAATTCCCGTCCAGGGGTAAGCCTACGCTATGGATATGGTAGACTGGAACGTGCTGCTTTATGGTCATTCCCCAGACATCCAAATGGCACCCGTCCCTGACACCTAATGTTTGCTTGTTGTTGGACAAACATTTTCCAGGTGAAAGTCTGCAGGGGAGCAGTCATCTCTCTGTTCCATAAACTCTCAGCTTCCTCCCTCGAGAACCACTAAATGAAGCTGTGCTTTGTGCTGGAACATTAGGAGGCATGAATGCAACATTTGGATTAATTACAGAAACACTTTCCAATTCACTGAGCAATGTTAAGGTTATGGTACTTGTGAAAAGAGAAAATCCCAATGAAGCTTGGGAGCATTTTGGGTTCATGTAGCTTCTTAGAAGAAAAATATTGCTATTTATATGTTAAATGAATGGAATAATGTTTTAATGCTAACTGTTTTGTTTCATGATCATTTTGTTTGTCTCTATTTCAAGTCCCATTTCTCAGTGTTTGACAAAAGAACAGAACATTACTTACTCAAATATACTCATTTCTGAGTTTAAGTTACGAAGACTTTGAGATGTTTACAGCATAGAAACAGGCCATTCAGCCCGTCTGCTTTATGCCTGAGTTCAGGCTGGTCCCGTAAGGCTCCTCCCAACCTTCTCACCTTATCAGCATATCCCTCTATTGCCTTCTCCCTCATCTGTTTATCCAGTTCCCTCACAAATACACCTCTCCAGTTCACCTCAGTTACTTCCCATTGCAGTGAAATTCATATGCTCACCACTCTATGGTTGAGGAACTTGCCCCTGAATTCCCTATTGGATTTAGCAATCACTTTGTATAGGCACAGTCATTGTAGTTTTGTTCTCCTGCACAATCTGAAACACATTCCCAACATCCCCCGATCAAACCCCTTCATAAAGTTAAAGTCCTCTATATTTATCATTCCACAACATTCTCTGCTCTGGAGAGAAGAGTTGCAGTCAGTCCAACAGAGTCGAGTTGCAGCCTTAAATGAAATTAGTCACGAAACACAGTATGCACAGCAGGTCCAACAGCATTTGACAGGTCAGGTTCATTTCAGGTTTGTGATGGTTGAAGGGCTATCCCCATCTTCTGTCTTTTGCGACAACAGACGTTTTAAGTATGTGACGTTTTTGTTCAAGATTTCCAGTGTTCAGATTTTTAAAAAATGCACAACACTGCTTGAGGAAGGATATTTTTGCTATTAAGAAAGTCCAGCAAAGGTTCACCAGACTGATTCCCAGGTTGGCAGGACTGACGTATGAAGAAAGACTGGATTGACTGGGCTTGAACTCACTGGAATTTAGAAGAATGAAGGAGGGAATCTCATAGAAACATATAAAATCCTGATGGGACTGGACAGGCTGGATGTGGGAAGAATGTTCCCAATGCTGGGCAAGACCAGAACTAGGGGTCACAGTCTAAAAATAAGGAGTAAGTCATTCAGGACTGGGATGAGGAAGAATTTCTTCACTCAGAGAGTTGTGAACCAGTGCAATTCTTTCCCATGGGAAGCTGTTGGGGCCAGTTCATTAGATATATTCAAGAGGGAGTTGGATGTGGCCCTTGCGGATAAAGGGATCAAGTGGTATGGGGAGAAAGCGGGAATGGGATACTGAGATT